GAGGGTGGAAGTGCGGGAGATGGGTCGGATCTGGTTGAGGGCCTTGTTGACAACGGAGCTGGGGAATCCTCGGTTGAGGAAGAGGGTGGACATTTCGGAGGCTCCCTTGTCGAAGTTGGCCTCATCTGAACATATGCGATGGAGACGGAGGAACTGAGAGAATGGGATGGAGTCCTTACAGGAAGTGGGGTGTGAGGATGTAGAGCCCAGATAGCTGTGGGAATCAGTGGGCTTGTAATGGATGTTAATGGCCAGTCTATCCCCAGAAATGGAAATAGAAATGTCGAGGAAGGGAAGGGAGGAGTCAGAGATAGACCAGGTGAAAGTGAGGCCAGGGTGGAAATTGGAGGCTAAATTGATGAAGTTTTCCAATTCCAGACGAGAGAGGGAAGCAGCACCGATGATATCATCGATGTATCGGAGAAAGAGTTGTGGGCAGGGGCCGGAATAGGACTGGAACAATGAACGTTCCACGTACCCCACAAAGAGACAGGCATAACTAGGGCCCATGCGGGTACCCATGGCAACCCCACTTACCTGAAGAAAATAAGAGGAGTTGAAAGAGAAGTTGTTGAGAGTGAGGACAAGCTCGGCCAAGCGGAGGAGGGTGGTGGTGGGTGGGGATTGTTCAGGTCTTTGCTCCAGGAAGAAGCGGACAGCCCTAAGACCATTCTGGTGGGGAATGGATGTGCAAAGGGATTGCAAATCCATGGTAAGTAGGAGGTGGCTGGAGCCAGTAAACTGGAAGCTTTGAAACCGGCGTAAGGTGTCAGATGAATCATGGATGTATGTGGGTAGGGATTGGACCAGAGGGAAGAAGACTGAGTCAAGGTAGGAAGAGATGAGTTCTGTGGGGCAGGAGAAGGCTGAAACAATGGGTCTACCTGGACAGTCCTGTTTGTGGATTTTTGGCAGGAGGTAGAAACGAGCTGTGCGGGGTTGGGGGACTATTAGCTTGGAAGCAGATGGGGGGAGATCACCGGATGAAATGAGATCCATAACCATAATGGATACAATGGCCTGATGTGCCATGGTGGGGTCATGGTCCAGGGGAAGGTAGGAGGAGGTATCTGAGAGCTGGCGCTCAGCCTCTGCAAGGCCAGACAACAACAGCACCACCCTTATTGGCAGGCTTGATGACAAAGTCAGGGTTAGATCTGAGTGCACGGATTGCAGTCAGTTCGGAGGGAGATAGGTTGGATTTGTTGAGAGGGGCAGCGAAATTGAGGCGACTAATGTCACGTCGACAGTGCTCAATGAGAAGATCGAGTGCAGGTAAAAGGCCGGAGGGAGGTGTCCAGGTGGAGGGAGAGTGTTGGAGTTGGGTGAAGGGGTCTGTGGGATGGGGAGAGGACTCTTGTACAAAGAAATGAGCACGGAGGCGAAGATGGCGGAAGAACAGTTCGGCGTCATGTCGTGCCCGAAATTCGTTAAGGTGGGGACGCAGGGGATAAAGCTGAAGCCTTTGCTGAGAACAGAGCATTCAGCATCGGAGAGCGGAAGGTTAGGAGGGATGGTGAATACCCGACGGGCGGTGGGGGGTTTGGGGGAGGAGATAGAGTCAGAGGGAAGGGGAGGAGAGGTATGTTCCAGAGACCCATTTGGGCATTTTTGAGTTGTTGCATCTTGTGGGCCTTGATGCCTGAAAGGAAAAGAAAAAATTTCTTGTTAGCATGACGAATGAGCCGGAGGATGAAGTGGAACTGCAGAGTGGTGCAGCCCTGAGCCAGCACGTTGCGATGCTGTTGGAAAGAAATGTTGAGAGTATGCATGTGGCGCCGATTGGCACTGAGTGTGGATCTCAGGATGCGGTGAGAGCAGCTGTCTGTGGAACCCAACCCCACTCTGTACCTCAAGCAATGGACTGTAAACCCAACCCCACTCTGTTCCGCAAGCAATGGACTGTAAACCCATCCCCACTCTATTCCGCAAACAATAGACTGTGAACCCATACCCACTTTATTCCTCTGGCAACGGCCTGTGAGCCCACCCCCAATCTGTTTGCCTAGCAGCGGCCCATGAACACACCCTCACACAGTTCTGCTAGCAATGGTTGTGAACACATCCCAACTCTGTTCCACTAGCAGCAGCCTGTGAACCTGTCCCTGCTCTTTTCCCCGAGCAAGGGACGATAAACCCTTCCCCATTTTATTCCTTCGCAATGGCCTGTGAACACATCCCTAGTCTGTTCTCCTCGCAACATCCTGTGAACACACTCCCATTTGGTACTTCGCGCAACGGCCTTTGAACTCATCCAAACTCTGTTCACCTCATAATGACGTTGATCTCTGAGCAACGGCCTGATAACCAATCGCACTTCTGCTTGCATTGCAATGGCCTGTGACCCCTTCCCCACTCTGTAATCTTAGTAATGGCCTGTGGACCCATCCCCACTCTGTTCTCCTAGTAATGGCTTTGAACCTATCATCTGTCTTCTTCTCGCAATGCCTTTGAACCCATCCCCATTCTGTTCCTCTGGCAATAGCCTGACAACGCATCCCTACTCTGATGTCCAAGCAACCACCCGTGAGCCCAGCCCCACTGTCGTCCCCTAGCAACCGCCTGTGAACCCATTCCCTCTCTTTCTCCTAGCAACAGCCAGTGAAACCATTGCCACTCTCTTCTCCCAGCGCCAGCCTGTGAACCTACCCTCAACTGTTCCCCAAGCAAACGCCTGTGAATATATCCCCACTTTATTCTCCTAGCAACAGCGTGTGAACCCATCCCCATTCTGTTCTTTTAGCAAAGGTTTGTGGCCCACGTACCCAATTTATTCTGCTAACATGGGACGGTGAACCCATCATCACTCTGTTCTACGAGCAATGTCCTGTTAACCCATCACCCTTTTGCTCGCCTATCAACGGCCTATGAATCAATCCCCACTCTGTTCCCATAGCAATGTCCTGTGAACCCATCCCTGCTCTCTTCTCCTTGCAGCGACCTTTTGAACCCGCTCCCATTCTGTTTTTTGTAGCAATGGCCTGTAAATTCATCCCCACTATGTTCTCCTAGAAATCGCCTGTGAACCCATTCCGACTCTGATCCCCAACAACTGCCTTTGAACACATCCCCATTGTGTTCTCCATCTCGAATCTGTTCTCCTAGCAAAAGCCTATGAGTCCATCTCCACACTGCTCCCCTAACAACGGCCTGTGAATCCATCCCTACACTGTTCCCACAACAATGACCTTTGCACCCATCACCACGCCACCCCAAGCAACTGTCTGTGAATCCATTTCCTGCGCTTTGTTCCCCTTGCAACGGCCGATGAACCCATGCGCACCCTGTTCCCCTAGCAAAGGCCTGTGATCCCATACCAACTCTGTTCCACTGCAAAAGCCTGTGAACCTATCCCTATCCTGATCTCTTTGCAATGGCCTTTAGAACACATCACCCGTCTGCTCGTCTAGCGACGGCCTATTATCCCATCCCCACTCTGTTCTCCTAGCAATGTCCTGTAAGCCCATCTCCAATCCTTTCTCCCAGCAACGGCCTATGAACCCTTCCCCACTGTGAACACCAAGCAACGGCCTGTGAACCCATACCCACTCTGTTCTGCCAGAAACTACCTGTGAACCCATACCCAATTTTATTTTCCCCTTGCAACAGCCTGTGAACCTATCCACAATCTATTATCCTAGCAATAGCTTAGAGCCAATCCCCTGTTCTGAGCTCTGAGCAACAGTTTTTTTAACCCATTGCCGAGCTGCTCGCCGAGCAATGCCCTAGGAACTTATCCCCATTTTGTTCTCCTAGCAACGGCCGATAAACGCATCCCTAGTCTGTATCCCTGAACAAACGTCTGTGAATACATCCCCATTCTGCTGTCCTAGCAACAGCCTTTTGAATCCATCCCCAGTCTGTTGCCCAAGAACGGCCTGTGATCCCATCCCCACTCTGTTCCCCGAGCAATGGTCTGTGAACCCATCCCCACTGTGGTCCATTAGCAATGGCCTATAATCTGTCTCCAATCTGTTCTTCTTGCAATGGCTTTAAACATATCCCCAGTCTGTTCCCCGAGCAATGGCCTTTTAAACCCGTACCCAGTCTGCTTGCCACTCAACTGCCTGTGAACCGAAACATACTCTGTTGTTCTCCTTTATTCCTTTATTTATTCATGGTGTAGGGCGTTGCTGGCTAGGCAGCATTTATTTCCCATCCCTAATTGCCCAGAGAGCAGTTAAAAGTCAACCCAATTGCTGTGGATCTGGAGTCACATTTGGGCCAAACCACATAAGGATGGCAGTTTCTTTCCCTAAAGGACATTAGTGAACCAGTTGTTTTTTTCGACAATTGACAATGGATCCATGGTCATCATTAGACTCTTAATTCCTGGAATGGAACATATGCAGGGTGTGAGGCAAGTGGAATACAGGTAGTTTGGCAGGCCCAGAAGTGCAGGAGTGAGAGACTGTGAAGGATAATGGAGAAGGGAAGGACATTGAAAGAAACCACGAAAAATGAAGGAGGAATAAAAGGTCATTGTGAGATTGGGAGGGCGATATGGAGGGAGAGGTAACAAGACAGAGAGATGAATTCTGCCGAGGCCAGGTCAGGATGAGTGACCCAGAAATGAAAGCAAGGTCGGAATGACTTCAACCCAACTCTTGACGTTGGTCCCTGTCCCCTCCCCTTCCCTGAGCACCAGGACTTGGGGCCGAGTCTGTCTCCCTCCAGCTCAGCTTCTCCAATACAAAGACAAACAGCAATACAGTTCAGTCTGCTACTTCACACTTTTTAATGAACATTTTTATTATTTACAAATTGAAGCTATAGGTACAGTCAGTGGAATGATCCCTTTTCTCACTGCCCGTAAGTTGACAGGAAATTGAAATGTGTTTTGTACCCCTGTGGGGAATAAGGTTGGACAATACAGCATCGACCTCAGTCTGTTGCATTAGTGACCTGCTGCTTCATTGCTGAAACATTGAACTGAAATGAGAACTTTCTGAATGGATTGTTTACTGAGTGAATTTGATTTATTGATGAATTTGGGTAAAGGGATATTTCAGCACATTCTTCAGCTGCTGTCTGAACTTAGTCTGGGTCACGGCATAAATCGCTGTGTTTGTGCAGCAACTGAGGAGTTGCAGCATGAAGCCCAATTCCCGCATGAAGTTAGGTACACGCTCAAGCTGAGACCCCATATTCCACATCTGGTTCCATATAGAATACACCATTAATATCGACCATAACAGGATGAAATTGGCCGAGATCACAAACAGTAAAATAATGGATTTTTTTCGATTTTGCATTTCTGCGTCACACTGACCTTCCCCATTGGTGTGAGCCCGGAGTCTCCTGCGGGGCCTGCTGGTCACTAAAATGTGTCTGACGGTGAAAACATTGAGCAACAGAATCAGGAGAAATGGAAGAGCCGGGGTTAGAATGTTGTGGAGGAACTCGATTGTGACCCAGACACGTGACATTTGAACATCGGGTGTTACCGCACAAAACCAGGGGGCATTCAACAGCCAATAACGAGCAGTGAGCATAAAATACCAGAAAATGTTCTTTAAACAGCTCAGCACAGTTACCGTTCCCAGAACCACAGCCGCTGTTTTCTCACTGCAATATTTACTTTTCAGCTTCTGGCAACAAATGGCCACAAATCGATCAAAGGTGAAAGTAACAGTGAACCAGACCGACCAGTCAGTGGCTGCATAAAGCAGGACAGCGTGGATATTACACACGGGGATGGACGGCAGGAAATAAAACTGTTCCCGATAAACAATGGGAATGTGTCTCAATATCAGGTCGAGGATAATGACCAGTAGATCCGCCACTGACATGGCCCCCAGGTAACGTCTGACACATTGAGACAATCCACAATCTTTATAATGAAGGATGAAGATCGTCACTACGTTAACTGTGAGGAAGGAAAACAAACGAAATACATATCAGCCTGAAGGCAGAGTTACCAGTTTGATTGAGGACCCAGTGACATTTTCAAATGTATCACTGATTTATTGAAAAAAATGAAGCTGAAATAACAAATAGAAATGTCTCATTGATTTTTTTTACAAAACACGTAACATAAAACACAAGAAACTCTCCTTCCCTAAAGACACAAACGCACATCCATAAGAACAGATAGTTTCTTGAACATTCCCACACATTCGATCACAGGAGGGCAGTGACAGGTCACTTCTTTACAGTTCCTAATACAGAGGTCGAAGATGTTGCGTTCCTGAAGGATTCTCTCCCACTTCCTTGAAGACATACAGAGTTTGGGAATTTCTGTCTTTTAGTCTAAATTGCGGTCAATTTTCGGTTGTGAAGAAACATGAACTGCCTGAGGAGATTTTGTGATAGTGTCTCCTTCTCCCTGGAACGGGATATTTTCCCTCGGGATCTAATCTTTTGTTCAATTCACTGACATCTTCGCAAATAATATCGGTTATAGAATGTTCCGGGGAATGTCAGTTATAGAATGTGATGGAATCATAAGGATCCACATCACAAAGGCCATTCTGTCCATCAGTTTTGGTGAGACCCACTCAGCCTCGTGGTGGAAATCTCTCCCCAAACTCAACTCAACTGGCAAACACAAATTAAAAGCATTGCCAGATCAGCTGAAGTGGTAAGTTATCTCACATTCTCAATCCACCTCACAGAACCAGCCCAGACACCACAAACCCAGATGAAATATCTGTTCAGCATGGAGCACTGTGCAGACCAGGCTAGTGTACTGTTCAATACAACCCGGCAATCTGTCCAGAGTGGGACACTGTGCAGGCTTCACCAGTCAACTAGATATCAGTCCAGCACGGGGAGCTGTGCAGACCACACGAGTGCATTGATCTATAAATCCGGACCAGGTATCTCTCCAGCACGGGGGTTTGTGAAGTGAACACCACTGAACTGATCTGTAAACCCGGAGCAGTTACCCTCCCAGCGGGTAGATCTGTACAGACCACCCCAGTGCAGTGCTCGGTGACGCTGTGTTAAATCGCTGCCCAGACTGGGGAAGCTTGCAGCCCATGCTGGAAGTGACAGGACGTGCGGCTCCCATCCATTTACAGCTCCATATCTCCAATGTGCCATGACAAGGGCTGCCATGGGTGTGAAAATCACTGCCAGAGAGAGATGGTGGGGTATCAGTTTAAATACCAACAGATGGGAGGGATTGGATATATAGACAGAGAGGGGGAGGTTGACAGACAGTGTCATGGAAGGATGTGTTTACAAGTTTTAGTATGCTGACATGTAGACATTTTGATAGCATCTTGCAGCATGGGTCAGTTTTTCAGGAATGATGCATGAATAGGATATTGCTGTGAGTTTCGATGCTGGAGAGTTTTGAATGAGCATTTGTTCTGCATTTGTGACTGAGAGTGTGGTGAGCACAGTCTTTGGCTCATTGGGCTGAATCTAGCAATAATTTGTCTCAGTGACATTTTAATTGAGTGTGACAGAGGGATAGTCTGCAGAAGGCTGAGCTAGTTTTCTGATGCTATCTTATCAAACTCCCCTCATTATCTACCTACCCCACCACATGCCATTCTTCTCATTCAATGCCAGCCTGATTCTCCCACCCATCATGGCTGGTAATAGCTCCCATCGCCTGAATGGCCCGGGTATTCCATGATCCCTGGCGCAGGTGCCATCTTTGAAAGACCAATGGGCACACAGTTGACCTTTCTCAGTTCGGAGCCATCCTGCACGGTTTACCCCGAGCCTGGCAGATAAGGAGCAATTGTACCAAGATTTGTCGAAAGGGGCATGGAGGTCTGGTGGATGGCTAGTACAGAGAAGGACCATTCTCTTCCTAGAAGAGTCCACACCACCAGACCCATCGAGCATGCTCTGAGCTCACCACCTAGGTCAGTGCAGTATCTGCAGTCTGAAGAAATGTCCAGCCATACAGGACAAGCATCAGTAACCTTCTCGGCTCTGCCAGGATCAGAGTCACCGTATTCTCTCTGCTCCCTCCCTCTCTCTCTGTCTCCCTTTCTCTCGCACCTCAACTACTCCCCTCCACTGAAAACACTGCATGGATTCAACAGTGTTGACTGGCTCACTCCTGCCACGTCACCATTTCCCCCTCACCTACACCATCACTGACATCACGACCACCCACTTTCACCCTCACTCCCTCCCTCCCTTTCTTTCATTCCAGGGAAAACAGCCTGGAATAAGACAGAAAGGGCCAAGCTGGGTGTTGGAGAGCCCGACATCACTTCCGTCCACCCCTGCCCCTGCCATGCGGAGAGGAGCCTGGTATGAGCCGGAGAGAACCGGGACGACCCGTGTGGAGATTCCGAAACATCCCCGTCCCACCAACCGAGTAAGGAGCAAAGTTCAGTGAAGGGTAATTCTCACTTTTTCAGTTCCGTTTCCAGCTGGTACAGCTCAGAAGCCGTGGCCCTGATGCCATCTCCCTTTTATATCGAGCCGGTACAAATGGAATCCCCATGGTCTCAGTGAGCAGGAGGGTGGGCTCACAACACATCGTCTCCACCAGCACCCAGGAAGGGAGCACGGAGTGTCCCTCCTACACCTCCTCCTTCAGACAGCTCAGATACTGAAACTAATCTATGACAGTCACTGCTCTCCCCAATTGTCCTGACATCTTCAATAATACAGCATTGAAATTGTCATAGAGTCGTAGTCCCAATGGAACAATTGAAATACTGTCACACTCACTACAGTGAGCAAATACTGATATACTCTTACAGAATGCGTCAAATAATGAAATGTTGTCAATGGAGCAACAGAAATCCTGACGCACACCAGAGGGAGGAAGTGAAATATTGACAAACCACAGAGCAAGTGAAATCCTGATCGGCTCCCCTTATCAGTGTAAGTATTGGTGTATTTGTGCGCGTGCTTGTGTGTATCTGTGTCTCTTTGTGGTGTTTGAAGTGATGCAATGCCACCCTCTGCTGGTCTCCACACACCACTGCACAGGCAGTGGCAGAGGATGAGAACCATCAGGGGTTTATTCAGAGAGGGACTGGACGGGCAGGACCTCACGACACCATCCAAACTGATTTATTTTTCATGTACTTATCTAAATGTCTCTTAAAAGTTGTAACTGTATCCACTCCCACCACTTCCTCTGCAAGTTCATTCCACACACAGATGACTCTCTGTGGAAAATAATTACCCCTCATGTCTTTTTAAAATCTTTACTCCTCCAAACTTAAAATATTTTCCTAGTCTTGAAACCTTTACCCTAGGGAAATACATCTGTCATTCAACTTATCTGACCCCTCATGATTTTATAAACCTCTATAAAGTCACCCCTCAATCTCCAACGCTCCAGTGAAAAAGTCCCAGCCTATCCAGCCTCTCCTTATAACTCAAACTATCCATTCCCAGCAACATCTTCGGAAATGTCTTCTTAAGCCTCTCCTGCTTAATATCATTCTTCCTCTGCCAGTGCGACCAGAACTGGTTACAGTACTCCAGCAGAGGCTTCACCAACGTCCTGTGCAATCTCAACATGATGTCTGGACTATAAACTCAAAGGACTGAGCAATGAGGGCAGCGTACTAAGGGCCTTCTTAACCACCCTGTCTGTACGTGTCTCTATTCTATTAACACTACCAAAGGTCCGACTTTAATTGTATAAGTCCTGCCCTTGTTTGTTTTACCAAAATGCAACACCTTGCATTTATCCAAATTAAACACCATCTGCCACACCACAGCCCAGTGAGTGATATTCCCACCTTCCGCACTATCACTTCATGTTTTGATTGACCCTCCTCTCACCAGAAGGCCTACAAACTCCGGCCTTGATTTTCCCAAAGATCTTGAGTTTGGTTTGCCTTGTGCGGGTAGGAGTAGGAAGGGTTGGATTGTAGACCAGCCAGTGGTGAGGAGACGCTGGAATATAATTTGTTGCCTTGTAAGATTTAATGGTTTTAGGAAGAAGGCGAGAAACAGTGATCTGCAATGCGGTTTTTTTGGGACCGAAAATTATGCTCTTTCGTTGTGTCTGGTCTTCAGTAAAAATATTTATTCGAGATCCTTCATAGCGCACATTGTGTCCTCAGGATTTCTTTCCCTAACATTGCAGTCTACAGATAATAGTCATTAAACTGGAAATCGTAGCCAAACAATTAAAGATGTTAATAATTTATCTAGATGGCAAAGCATATGCACTCAACATCCTATGGTTGAGGTAAATACCTTGCATTTGTTGAACAATGAAAAATGTTCCCCGTGTAATTCAGTAAAATTAACCAGAATTTAAGAAATCTAAACTTAGCTGAAAGCTGACACTTAAAATGTAACCCAAAATCTTAGCATGAGTTAGGTCTTGTTCAGTGTGTAGCGCCCATGCCTCTGAGGCAGAGCTCTGGGTTTGATTCCAATCCCTGAACCTGGGGAAATATCCCCAGCTCTGGAACAGAAGTTCTCGAATCAAGTCCTGCCTGTTGCAGAGGTGTCACGGAAAGTCAGAGCAGGTTAATGAGCAAACATACAGGAGAATAATGTTACAGATTCAGGGGCTATTGCAGTGTGGTGGTAGTGTCCCTACCTCTGGGACCAAAATTCAAGATTCAACTCCCACAGCGGTGCTTCATAATATGTCTGAAAAAGTTGATTAAAATTATGTTAGAATTGTGACTTGATCGAGAAGGAAGAGGTATCAGTTTTGAATTTCAGAATTTGAGCCCGGGACGACACAAAAACATAACCATTCGTGTTGATTGGAGTAAAATTTGCACCTTATAGATGTTTGTAAAATCATGAAGGGTATGGATAGAGTGAATGGTCAAGGTCATTTTCCCAGGATATGGGAGTCCAAAATTAGAAGGCATGGGTTTAAGGTGAGAGG